GAAGGGAGCTGGGGAGGAAGAGGGAAGCGGATGGATTGCAGCCTTATATGGACAAAGCACTGCTTTTCCCAGGGTTTGTGGCTCTGACCCCCGGCATGATGCCAGATACCTCACAAACAGCTCCTCAGCTCCACCAAGTGGTGCCTCTAATGAAATGCTACAGTCAGGCTGAGGAGTTACATGTCTGTACAAACCTCTGTAAAACAATACTCCTGTGATCAGGGCTACCCAACGGTGGATTACCCTTAATTGGAAATGTGCTGGCAGTGTGCTCTGTAGCAGGGATACTCAACATTTCTCATGTCAAAGGCCCCTAAATTGATACAAATTAGACCCATTTGATGACATTTCTCTTCAAGGACCTCCATCTGAGAAGATTCTGGTTGTTAGATATGATTAAAACCAGAATTCTGTAGTTGTCATCTACAGTTAAGGAGATAACTGTGGGGGAAGTGAAACCTATAATAAGAATAGTCTCTCTTATGACGCTAACTCACAGCAGGCTCACTTCTACAGTGAATAAGTGAAAATAAACTATTCCCTGTTTGTCTGGGGACCCCTGGGACTCCCTCAAGGACCCGTGGTGGTCTCCCTGGATGAGAACCAGTGCTCCATAGCACAACAAAAAATGAAGCAGTATCAGCTTTAATGTGGTTTTTCTATTTTTACCTGATCTTTGGCTCCTGTCTTGCAAAAAAAAAGATTAATGTCAAAATTTGGTTTTATCAGTTGATATTACACTTATAAGGTTCCCTTTTTTAGGAATACTCCAGTAATTTAGTGTTGTGTTGCTGTATCCTACAATTCCCTACTAAATAGAGTCTGTCATTACACCTTCCTTGCCTGTCCAGTGCCCACATCTTTTAAAGTCCACACTCCCACTTTGTGTTGCAGGCCACCTTTAAAAAGATTTTTAAGCCTGACATAACCAGGTTTATCTCCCCAGACTTTAGAGAGCTCATCCAGAACAACAGAAAGACACCATACAGCTTTTCAATCGTTACGTTCATGATAATAAAACTGAGTGTCCCTTTAAGAGGAGACACAGGTTAATAGGGTACAACTTCACTACTACATATCATCATCAAATTTCCAAACAAATATTTTTTTATTATTACAAGTTTTCTGAAATTAAATCTTGAAATATGCAGATGAGGCATTGTCTACTTAAATATGTACTAATCTGCATCCATGTCTCGCACAAAAATCTGAAGATTTGATAAAGGCAGTTTCAAAAGTCTTGTTCCACTTTGTCATCATACTAGAGTTGGATTTTGGATATCTCTTTTCATCATTCCCTAAATAGGAAAATACTGTCAAAAGCCATACAAACTAAATACATAAATAAATTGCCATGTTTTTATGGATAAAATGTTCTATAAATCAGGCTTATGGTTGCAACGGTATGAGATTTCTCAGAAAATATCACTGATTCACGGTACCACTGTATTACAAAATTTATGTTATTATTAGTCAGGATGATCCTTAAAGGAATGAAAATGGAACGCTTATTGTTGAACACGTTTTATTACTATGATTGAAACCTGAAACCATTTTGTATATATACAGTACAGGCCAAAAGTTTGGACACACCTTCTCATTCAATGCGTTTTCTTTATTTTCATGACTATTTACATTGTAGATTCTCACTGAAGGCATCAAAACTATGAATGAACACATGTGGAGTTATGTACTTAACAAAAAAAGGTGAAATAACTGAAAACATGTTTTATATTCTAGTTTCTTCAAAATAGCCACCCTTTGCTCTGATTACTGCTTTGCACACTCTTGGCATTCTCTCCATGAGCTTCAAGAGGTAGTCACCTGAAATGGTTTCCACTTCACAGGTGTGCCTTATCAGGGTTAATTAGTGGAATTTCTTGCTTTATCAATGGGGTTGGGACCATCAGTTGTGTTGTGCAGAAGTCAGGTTAATACACAGCCGACAGCCCTATTGGACAACTGTTAAAATTCATATTATGGCAAGAACCAATCAGCTAACTAAAGAAAAACGAGTGGCCATCATTACTTTAAGAAATGAAGGTCAGTCAGTCCGGAAAATTGCAAAAACTTTAAATGTGTCCCCAAGTGGAGTCGCAAAAACCATCAAGCGCTACAACGAAACTGGCACACATGAGGACCGACCCAGGAAAGGAAGACCAAGAGTCACCTCTGCTTCTGAGGATAAGTTCATCCGAGTCACCAGCCTCAGAAATCGCAAGTTAACAGCAGCTCAGATCAGAGACCAGATGAATGCCACACAGAGTTCTAGCAGCAGACCCATCTCTAGAACAACTGTTAAGAGGAGACTGCGCCAATCAGGCCTTCATGGTCAAATAGCTGCTAGGAAACCACTGCTAAGGAGAGGCAACAAGCAGAAGAGATTTGTTTGGGCCAAGAAACACAAGGAATGGACATTAGACCAGTGGAAATCTGTGCTTTGGTCTGATGAGTCCAAATTTGAGATCTTTGGTTCCAACCGCCGTGTCTTTGTGAGACGCAGAAAAGGTGAACGGATGGATTCCACATGCCTGGTTCCCACTGTGAAGCATGGAGGAGGAGGTGTGATGGTGTGGGGGTGTTTTGCTGGTGACACTGTTGGGGATTTATTCAAAATTGAAGGCACACTGAACCAGCATGGCTACCACAGCATCCTGCAGCGACATGCCATCCCATCCGGTTTGCGTTTAGTTGGACGATCATTTATTTTTCAACAGGACAATGACCCCAAACACACCTCCAGGCTGTGTAAGGGCTATTTGACCAAGAAGGAGAGTGATGGAGTGCTGCGGCAGATGACCTGGCCTCCACAGTCACCGGACCTGAACCCAATCGAGATGGTTTGGGGTGAGCTGGACCGCAGAGTGAAGGCAAAGGGGCCAACAAGTGCTAAACACCTCTGGGAACTCCTTCAAGACTGTTGGAAAACCATTTCAGGTGACTACCTCTTGAAGCTCATGGAGAGAATGCCAAGAGTGTGCAAAGCAGTAATCAGAGCAAAGGGTGGCTATTTTGAAGAAACTAGAATATAAAACATGTTTTCAGTTATTTCACCTTTTTTTGTTAAGTACATAACTCCACATGTGTTCATTCATAGTGTTGATGCCTTCAGTGAGAATCTACAATGTAAATAGTCATGAAAATAAAGAAAACGCATTGAATGAGAAGGTGTGTCCAAACTTTTGGCCTGTACTGTATATATATATGTACATACCTTGAAACTGGTATATTGCTACAACCTTAATCAGACTATACATGATATATGAACAAACTTTTCAGTAAGAACCTTAAGGATACAGACAGGAATAAAACCTACAAGTCTGGCGCATGTAAGTGCTGCTGATGTTGAGATTTCTGGCTCAGACTATGAGAAAAAAAAAGAAAAGAAAATGGCCTTTACAGATACCTGTTCTAAAACTGAATATATTTTTTAGACAAAAACCCCCAAAACGCTACAGGTGAATAGGGTGAAAAATATCAACAAGTAATGATAATATCACCATGAAACAAACCCCAGTTGATTAATTACATTAAGACAACTGTTTTTTATATGACAAGTTTTTCTAAAATTTTATGTTTAAAACAGGGCAGCTGTGGCTCAGAGGTACAGTGGGTCGTCCACCTCCAGTCTGCATGTAGAAGTATCCATGAGCAAGATTCTGAACCCCAAATTGCTCCTGATGGCTGCTCCATTGGTGTGTTAGTGTGTTAAAAACTGAGTAGCAGGTGACACCTTGTATGGTAGCCTCAGCCACCAGTGTATGAATGTGTGTGTGAATGGGTGAATGTGACTCTTTGAGTGGTCAAATGACTAGAAAGGTGCTATACAAGTACAGGTTCATTTACCATTTTCCATTAAATACACAAATGAGGCATTTATCTTATCTTAAATATTATCTTAAATATTTTGCACACGTTTCCAGAACAGAAATCTGAACTAAAATAAACACCTGAATGTCTATTTTGGATGTTTTCTTTCCACTAGTCCTAAAGAAGACATGTTAGGGAAGCAGAATCGCCCTGTAGTTATTATCAACTGTAATTTCTCCTTTTAACACTTAAATGTAATCACACTGTCACAGACAGACACGTGGGCCAGGTAGTGTTCAGCCGATACAGTATTTGGCTTTTGAGGCTCAGTGAGACTCAGTGAGGTGTGTGTGTTGCAGGGACTCTTGATAGGGGCCTTATGACAGTTTCACCTGAGCTGATGTAGGACCCAGGGTCCCACATCTCCTACTAGGGCATTACCACAGCTTTTACCACATTTTTAAAAAAGTGTTTCTTGGACATTTTATGCCTTTACTGGCTGCAAAGGGATTATACTGCTGTTTATGGTTGAAATGTTAAATCAAATTCAGAATAAGCTCTTCTATAGAAGTGTGTTTTAAGAAGAGATTTAAACGAGAACACTGATTCCTGCAGCCTTCTTTCCTCAAGTTGTTCCAGAGGCTGTGGGCCCTGACTGCAAATGTCTTGTCCTAAATTTCTGTGTGGATTGTTGAAGTTTTATTTGACTAAAACAAGAGCGAACAGCAAAAAGGCAAACAGGGAGCTGAGAGCGACTGGTGAGCAGAGCGGAGATGACATGATTTATTTTGGAGAGAGTGACGTGATACTTCTTGGAAGAGATAGGATGAAAATGTAAACACTCTTGCTGTGACCTGCCGAGTATTTTTACAGTCTCAGCCAAGTGGTGCTGATGTTTTAATTGGGAATATGTACACATAAGGTGGCGGCCATTACAGCCTGTAACAAGACTGTTTGTAAGAAAGCCTGTAACAAACTGTCCCAACTAAAGAGTATATTAACACTATGAGGACCTGTTTCTTGAAGCTGAGACTTATACATTAATGCACTTTAATGACATTTCACTGACATCTAATGAGCATGTTCAGTTACTGATCCACAGCTACTCTACTTTATCCTCCACATGAAGTCCATGCCATGTTTTCCAGCTGACCGAGAGACATGTCCAGGTTTTCTCTGCAGCAGCAGCAGCAGGCTACATGACCTCCTCCTACAGTAGTGATACTCGACACTAACTTGGTCCCATTTTATCAACAACTTTTGAGTTATATGGCTCCAGCAGGCATGAACTGTGAAAGGAATTACGTCCTGTGAGCTGTTTTTTGTAGGTTTAACTGTTCAGGACAAGCAGTTTGGGAAACTTTTGCACTTCACTTTCATCTGCACTTTAATCGTCAAGCATTCCTCTTTGTTGCAGAAACAGATGCCTCTTCCTGTTCACGTGAGAGTAAAACATTGCCTCTGTAGTAGTATTTTGAAAGGAGTTATGCTGGATGTTTGTGCAGCTGACTTCAACAACTAACTTTTCCAGAGTAGTTTAGCCTGATCTCTGAGATTTTATGTTTGTTTATTTATTTATTTTTGCCATTGAATGATTCCAGACATGATTTATTACTGAGTTTGTGTCTATTTTTGGTTGAGTGGCTTGAATTTAAACTTTGTGTTCACCTATATGCTTGATGGATGACACATCTTGTGACACCAAAGTGCCAAAGTACACAATCTACAAATAGCCTTCACTGGCAGGAAGCTGTGAAAAGTGTGTGTGTGTGTGTGTGTGTGTGTGTGTGTGTGTGTGTGTGTGTGTGTGTGTGCGCGCGCATGCGTGCATGCGTGCGTGCGTGTGTGTAAAAGTTTCCAGGAGTGAGCTAATGTCTCATGCAACTTGAGGTATTTTTGTTTTGTCCAGTGATAAAGTAGGGAGTTTATGGACAAATAAAGAACTGATGTCAGAATATAGGTGTTTTCAAACCATGCTAACATGTAGTAAATAAAATTATTGATTATTGTTGAAGAGTTGGGATCTTCTTCTCAACAAACCCTGACTGAATTTGGGAAACCATACCACCTCGTCATCATGTCCTGTGATGAAGACCCCTACATCTTCTCCACTGACACTCTACCCAGCGACCGCCGCTTCCTCCCTCCACTTGCCAATGGCCTTCTGGGATGGAGGGTGTACAACAGAATCATGCACATGGGTGGTGTGTATAATGGGGAGGGTGGACGTTGTCACCGGGCAGATGTCCCCTGTCCTCACGCTGTGACAGTTGAGATTGACGAAGCAGGCCAGCACACCTACAGTCTGGACACTCACACAGGTAGAGTCTGTTTGACCGTCTGGCATCAGGAAACAGTGTTGTGACGAGTTATTACTGGTAATCGTCTCATCTTCCCTCCAGGCATCTTTACCCACACTCTGAGCTCAGCCAGTGTCACTGTGTCACAGTCTCTGTACTCACACCGACACTACTCCAACCTGATGGTGATGGAGATAATGCTGGTGCGTCAGGTGACTTCAGAGGAGCCAATCAGTGTCAGGCTGGACAGTTCATTCACGCCTGAGAGCAAAGATATCGTTTTCGAGGCTGGTCCTGATTACAAAGGAGGAAGGTATGGTCAACAGAAACATGTTAAATCTTATTTTTATGCTTCCACGTGGACGACTGCTGTGGCTGGATGCATTATGTGTTTGGGTTGTCTGTCGGTCCACTTGAACTCAACAATGAACTGATAGGAAATTTGTGGTCATATGTCAAAGGTCACTGTGATCTTTCTGTCTCATTCTTGTGAATGCAATATCTCAAGAACACCTTGAGAGTTTTTTTTTTCAAGTTTGGCACAAATGTCAATTTGGACTCAAGGATTAACTGATTAGATTTTGGTGGTCAAAGGTCAAGCTCATTGTGACCTTGCATTCATCTTATTCTTGTGAATGCGATATCTCAAGAACACCTTGGGGGGAAATTATTCAAATTTGGCAGAACATCCACTTTGAGTCAAGGACAAACTGATTAGAAATTGGTGGTCAAAGGTCAAGGTCATTGTCCATCTCATTCTTGTGAATGCCATAGCTAAAGAAAGCCTTGAGGGAATTTCTTCAGATTTAGTTCATATATTTACTTTGAGTCAAGGATGAACTGATTAGAAATTGGTGGTCAAAGGTCAAGGTCACTGTGATCTTGTGTCCATCTCATTTTCGTGAATGCATTAGCTGAAGAGAGATTTGAGGGAATTTCTTCTAATTGGGCACAAACATTTGCTTGGACTCAAACTCAACAATAAGCTGATTAGAATTTGGTTTTTAAAAGGTCAAGGTCACTGCAACCTTGCGTTTGTCTAATTCTTGTGAACCTGAAATCTCAAAAACACCTTGAGGGAGTTTCATCAAATTTGGGACAAACATCCACTTAGACTTGAATGATTACAATTTGGTGGTCAAAGGTAAAGGTCACCGTGACCTTGCATTTGTCTCATTCTTGTGAACATGATATCTCAGAACACCTTGAGGGAATACCTCCAGATTTTGCACAAATGTCCACTTGGATTTAAGACTGAAATTATTAGAATTTGATGGTCAAAGGCCAAGGTCAGTGTAACCTAACAAAACATGTTATGGTAAATCCAGTTTACTATATATTACAAATATGATGTCTCACACAGTTTCCATCCCTCTCTTTCTCAGTCACATCCAAGGACAGGTGACTGCTGCTGAGTTTCCAGGAGGTTTGTGTCCCTCAGTTCACCTTATCTGGACCCCCATACCCTCCACTCTGACACTGCTTCCAGAGCAGAGCCAGGCTCGCTGGGGCTTCATCCTGATTGCGGCCAACAGTTTGGAAAGTGCTGAGGCCAGCTTTGATGAGGGCCTTAATCTGATGTCGAGTGGTAACCTGCGTCCATCTCATGAGAATGCCTGGAAAGAACTTTGGCTGCAGAGCAAGGTGGAGGTGCAGGGGTTAGAGAACCTCGGCAAGGCTGTGATTGGCTGCATGTTTTACCTCCTTAGTGCCTTCCCCTCCATACATGACACCTCCAGCTCTTTTGGTGGAGTCAGTCCAGGCGGGCTGTCTAATGGTGGGGATGGTCAGGACTACTGGGGCCATGTTTTCTGGGACCAGGTAAACAGTGAAAGTTGATGACCGGCTATGTTATTTACATGCTGTTTGTTTGGGTTTGTATAGTGTATCACACAATGACCCTACCTTCCTGTGACAGGACATCTGGATGTACCCTGGCATAGCCCTTTTCTATCCCAAGCTAGCCCGAGCTGTGCTGGAGTACAGGGTGGGGACTATAGATGGTGCAAAAGACAACGCCCAAAAGCAGGGCTTCAAGGTACGATCATCAGTGGGATAATCAGGTCTCAAAATCATAGCTCCTAGGGATGAGTGAGTACATGATTATCTCTATCTGTGTATGTATCTGTTTAACCAACAAAATTATCTGTATCTATATCTGTACTTGGAATGGGCGGGGTTTAGGTCAGACATGGGATGGGGTGAAATTGAATGTGGGTTTGGCCTAATCTGAAGTTGTTAAGCGTGAAATTGATATGGGTTGGTCAGAAGTTGTTGTATTTGTTGTTTACTAGAAAACTATTTCCAGAGCAAACTCAGAAAGAAGCTTGAGATAATTTCTTATCACATAAGAGATTAAACCCAGCTACCCAAATAAGTATTTCCCAATAACCACGAAGCTGAATCCTCTGAAGAACAGACGTTACCTTCACAGGGACTGAAGTTTGCCTGGGAGAGCGCTGTGTCAGGGAGGGAAGTGTGTGGAGTGGACATTTATGGACAACAAGAGATTCACATAAATGGAGACGTCACCCTGGCCTTCCAAACCTACCTCTACCTCACCGAGGTACGTTCCTTTATCCTCACTCAGCACCACTGTGTCTCACCCTGTGAAACGATGTTAACTAGGCTCTTTGTTGCAGGATCTGACCATGTTCACAGACGGCCGGGGCAGAGAGGTGATATACGGTGTGGCTGATTACTGGGTCTCCAGAGCATCCTGGAACCCAGAGGACCAGAAGTATCATATCTTAGGTGAAGGCCATTATAAGAAAGATGGTTATTATACTGAATTTATTCATGTTTATCAGGCTAATACTTTCATAAAAGCAAAACTAAAGACATCTCAAACACTCATTTCACCACAAAACTACATCTGTAATGAAGAACTTGGCTCTCAGTGTTATTGAAGTTTTGAAATGTTAAGACCTTATTTTTATCCAAATATAATGAAACATTTCCCATCTATGTCATTTAGGTGTCATGCCACCTGATGAGTACTATTACAATGTCAACAACTCTGTGTACACAAACACAGTGGCTAAATCCAGGTACTTGTATTTGAATAATTCCCTGCAGTGCATATTAATTTATGATTCCCAGAGAATGCAAAAAGTCTCTCATTTGTCAGTCTCCAGTTTGCTGTAGAATTGGCTGAAAGCCTCCAACATCCTGCGCCAAAGGAATGGAAGGAAGTGGCAGATAGCCTCAAAATACCCTTTGACCAAGAATCCCAGTACCATCCTGAGTATGACGGCTACATCAAAGGTTATTTATTATTTTTCTGACTCAGACCTGCATGAGAAAATCATGTGTGATGTAACATGATGTCAGAATGTCTTGTTGACCTCTCACAGGTAATCCAGTGAAGCAGGCAGACACAGTGATGTTGAGCTATCCTCTCTGATTGCAAATGACCCCAGAGGTCAGGAGGAATGACCTTGAAGCGTACGAGCCAGTAACAGACCCTCATGGCCCGGCCATGACATGGGTAATACACAGCATGCTGTATGTGACTCTAAATTAAACCGGTCAGTGGTGGAGGAAGTGTTCACATCCTTCACTGAAGTGAAAATAGCAATACCACAAAGTTAAAAATATGATACAAGTAAAAGTCATGCCTTCTTTGGAATGTTACGTCTTAATTAATTAGTCTGCGTCTGTACTAACGCCTTACTTTCCATTGAAAGGGTATGTTTGCGATCGGCTGGCTAGAGCTGGGAGAGGCTGAGAAAGCTCAAATTTTACTCGAGAAGTGCTTCAAAAACATCCAAGGACCGTTCCAGGTGTTGTTTTGACTCATACAGCCACACAATCCTAATAAATGCCTCTTTGCTGGAAATCCTTTAATGTGTGATTACCTCTCGTCTTAGGTATGGAGTGAATCATCAGATGGCTCTGGTGCGGTTAACTTTCTCACAGGGATGGGAGGATTCCTGCAAGCTGTGTTGTTTGGTTACACTGGCTTCAGGTTAGTTAATGGTGAAAAACATCTCAATATGTGCACAGCATGTAGGCAGTGAAATAAAGGTGATAGACTGTGGTGTTTTTTTTCTAGAGTTCAGAAGGAATGTCTGGCCTTTTCTCCGCTTCTTCCCAACAACATTTCTGAGCTCTGCATCCGTGGTGTGAACTACCTGGGCAGTCAGATGGACTGGCTGCTCAGGAAAGAGGAAGTTTGTATCATACTCAGGGAAAAGGCAGACAGTGCTGGCAACACCTCAGATCTGCAGGTTGTCCTGAAGGCATCAGGGACGAAAATCCCTCTCACACCAGGTAACAGAAGCAAAGACAGCAAAGAAGCTCATTTAGGTTTAAGTTTGTACATAAATAACAAAGAACACACTTAACCCCCCTAACTAAAGCTTGAAAAAAATGACAATTAAATATTTTTTTTTTTATAATTACACTAAACATAATACATTCAGAAAATACTTAAAGGTCCAGTGTGGCATATTTAGGGGGATTTAGTTACATCTAGTGGTGAGGATTACATGAGTAAAAACACTAAATTAAACAGTTTCACATTAAAAAATCAGTGACTTTCCAACCCTGCTTGTTGAGGAGGGGCTGCTAACTATGGTGGCTGATGCAACAACGCAAATGCAAAAGGCTCATTGATGTATAATAACGAGACACCGGACCCCAAGATGGGGCCAATTCAGTCCAGTGGGATTGCTGATCTGGTGTATACAGCAAAAAAGTTTTTGGCTTCCAGGTTTACTTCTGCAGTATGTGGTCCACTAAATATGCGCAGTAGTGTTTTTGCCCCTGGCTCCGCCCATGAGTTCCCACAATATAAAAACCTCATGGATCAAAACTTCATAATAGTATCAGTCAAAATTGACCTTAAATGCAGTTTCAGGTGTCCCGTCAACAGTTTTACGGATGTCTTTTTTACAGTGGTGGTCTATGGGGAAAATTCTTTTGGGGGTTTAGTTGATTATTTTCACTGCAATACCACGAGTGGCCACCGGGAAAAATTTGTCTGCAAGGCTGAGCTGCTTTCCTGAGGAGCATGGAGCATCCCTATCTAGAACCAGTGTTTGGTTTGTCTGTTCTGGGCTACTGTAGAAACATGGCGGTGGAACGTGACGATGGCTGTAGACGAAGACCCACTCCCTATGTAGATATAAACAGCTCATACTAAGGTCACAAACGTACAATGGGTCTTATTTTCATGTAATTATGCACTAAAGAAAACATACTTATTATATTATATTCCATTTCTACCACTATATCCCCCTAAATCCCACACTCTTAACCTTTAATATCAAAATGATTAGCCTAATAAAAAATTAATAAGTACTACAATGAGCTTGTGAAATATTTTACAACTCCAGAAATGGCACCATCTGTCTTATGCGGGAAGAAAATAATGGAGAGCTCTCACACTCCCTCCATTCAATAAAAACTGGCTATTCAGACAGCAAAGTGGTAAAAGACAGACAGACCTTTTTAATACAGTATAATGTGCTATTATGACTCCCACAAATCAGAGAAAACTGGAGGCTCTGGGGGTTGTCAGTGACTTAATAGTGAAACCATTTGTGAGAGTGAATCTGGGGACTGTGATGACAGTTGTTGCACACTGGAGGATATGGAGCTGCTGGATTGTAAAACAAACTGATACCCAGAGGAGATATCAATAGTTTGGTTAAAGGATGCCAAGACTAATAACTACCTGTTACTGGACAATTACCCTGCAAGCCTGTTTGAATTTATGTGCATGTATTTTTTTTTTCTGTGAATTTTCATATCGCACATTTCTTAATAAAGGCACTGATAGAGTAACAGATTATTATTAATTCACTTGTATATATCTATATTTTCAGGGAATCCGGTAACCTTTCCCCGAGAGCCTGGATATGTTTGTAAAGTGGCTTCCATGTTTTCCTGTTGGCCTCTTTGAAGCAGCGACCACGACCCTCCTAATCATTACATTTACCCACAATTAATAACATGTAGCACAGTTATTTTATACCTAAGCCAGTGTTACGTTGTACTGTAGCCTGCTGCTCAGCAATCACTCACAAAATGTAGGATATTCTTATAGTATTAGTACTGTAATATGCCATGTAACAAAACCAGTAACCAATCGTATGGTAATGAAATACATTCAAATAAAAGTCTTAACATTTTTTGCAAAGCTGGAGTTTCCCTTTTGTTTTCCATCTCTTGTGATAAACAGTACAGTTATAAAGTGTTTACTTCACCACCACATTTCAAATATCTTGGAGCTTTGTTTACCAGAGGGAGGCAGCAGCAGTCTGCAGGAGAGGATGTGACAAAGGACAGAAGGAGCTCATCACATTTATCTTCACTTATATTAAAAACAGTGTGTGCCTCTCAAAGCGGCCCACCCTGGTTTTACTTTGGGATTTTTAAAAGTACATTTGTGCTTGTTTTCTGGCTTAATAACCAAAACAACAGGCTATAAAAAGCCACTGTCAGACATGTGTTTGAGTGCGGTGGGCGGGGCGGAGCGAGTATCCTGCCACGTATCAATAGGTTGATTTAAATCTGTGCAACGCTGCGACTCCGCCCTAAACTTCCGTTAGGTTTGCTCGATTTGAATCCGTATTTCGACGGTTCCCCCTCCCCGTGCCATTACTTTCTATTGTTCCGAAAGGCGGGGCCGCCCTTGCGGGTAATCCGAAACAACAAATCGAACATACCCACTCAAACGTCACTGAGCTTCGCCTCGTGATTGGCTGGCAAAGTTTTGAACAAGTTAAACGGTTTCAGCGGGCCGGTGGGAGGATTGCAGTTACCGTCCGGGATATTCAGTTTGTTCATGGTCAACACATGATCTGTAAAGCCAAGTGGGAATATTTTATCACTTTAATTCTCACGTCAGTATGCGATTGATTTAGCTTTTTTTCTTTTTAAATTCGCGGAGCAACGAGTATCGTCTTCATTTTTTCAGAGACTTGGATAGCAAAGGTAACGTTTTTTATTTTGACGAAGACAATGTTAGCTAGCTTGGCTAACATCGTAACGTTAGCCTTTTAAACATTGCATAGCAGTAATGAATAATAGCATTGTCACCACCTCAGTTAAATTAACACAACGTACCTTACTGTAACTGTTACCTCAGTATTAGGTTAGCACATGACATTATTTGACTGTTTGGTGCTGCATGCTCGTTGGTCGTAGTTTCGTGTTAGCTAAGCTAACATGTTACCTGGGAAACGTTAGCTAATTCTGTTCATAGCATAAACCGCTTGGGTGTCTGACAGATTGACTGATTTTAATGTGCTCAGTATTTGTAAGAAAATGTGTTAGTGCTGCTGTAATATGAAAACTAATAATGTTATGTTGCTGTCGACCATATTGTTATTAAATATCTGTAGTCTCGTACCGTCCGTCCGCGAAAATAGAGGACATTGCGCATGCACCGATTACAGTTACAAAGACAAAATGGATCTGACAGTGCAATACTAAAAAACAAAGCGAATCTTGACAACCAAAAGTATGTAGAATATTAATAATAGATTTGCAGAAATTACTTGTATATGTGGTGTTTGTCACTTTATTTGTGATTATGAAAAAGAGTGTGACTTCATCAAATCCAACTTTGAAAAGTCAGAATATTGTAAAAAGTTAATAGGCAGCATCTTATTCAGTATTGGCTTAGAGTTTGTTATTGGTGCATTACAAAATGTAAATGGCTTTTTTTGGGTGGCTAGATTTTTCCAGGTTGCTGTTTAGAGGGTTTTATACAAGTGAGTTCAAATAGTCATGCTGACAGAAATATAAAGACTGTTTAACCACACATAAAAACCTAATGTGATGCTTCAGTTTATATATTTTTACTTTCTCAATTCTGTTCCAGCTTGTCCTGATTTAACAATGCAATCTTTCCCTCAGGCCATCAACATGAACTCTGTACTAACATCTGTACGATCCCTCATGCAAATGTTCGATGGCAAAGTCCAAGAATTCAAGAGCGACATTGATAATGTCCACATGGTTTGGCTTGAGGAGATCCAACAAGAGGCCAACCGCATGTTCTCAAGGTAGGTGTACAGTAATGTCTTAAAAACCCACTGAATAAAATTTTCTGTTATTTTGATTCACAAGTTTCCATCTGCAAAAGCCTGGTCTTTTGTAGAATCTCCAATAAGGTTTTTCCAAGTGAAGCTATTTCTTATTATTTCAGAGATTTCAATGCTGAACCAGAATTAATGCCAAAAACACCATCACAGAAGAAGAATAGTCGCAGGAAGCGTGTATCTGTCGGGCATCAGGAAGAAAATCAAGCCAGACGAAGGTTTGTTGCTTTTGTTTTAGTAAAAAAAAATCTAAAATTCTAACTGTGACGTAATTTTAAACATGTTGTATCATTTCTTCATCAGATTTTCAAAGGGAAAGCGCAGTAACCTTCGTGGCTCCTCTGTCAAATCACTGAACTTCATTGCTGAAGAAGAGGCCATTCCTGAGGCTTCCTCCTCTGAAGCAAACACCACCACACAGCCTAAACGCACCACCCGCAGAAACAAACAAACAAAGTCAGAGGAGGCAGAGGATGTTAGCAAGTCACAAGACAGCTGTGAAACCCAGGAGGTGCAGAACAAGAAGCCGCAGCTGGTAGAGGAGAAAAAAGAGATGCACCAAAGCAACCAGGTGAACAATGCAGAAGACGAGCCGGACCATATCTTTAGCACCGCCCAGTCCCCACCTAAGATCCCCTCGCCTGAGGTTATTGTCAGCATCTCTGCATCAGACCGCTTGTCTGCTGAGTCTGCTAAACAGCTGCAGCCTTCTCCTGGCCGTACAGCTGCTAAGATTGCAATAGCTGGCACAACTCGAAGCTCGCGACGGAGCTCTGTGCGATGCTCCCTCAAACTACGTCACTCGCTGGCCGGTCTGCGTCACAGTATGACACAGGAGTCTGTTCGCCGGGCCTCACGCCGCTCCATGCTCAAGAGGAAGGCAACTCACACGGGCAACTCCACGTGTAGCAGCAACGTTGATGGTGAGAAATAACAGATATTTGGTTCATAGTTACATAAAATGCAAATTATTAATAGTTCTTTGGTGTTAATCTGAATATTGTATTTGCCTTTTTTTTTTTTTTTTTTTTGGTAGAGGATTCTTGCATGGACTCTGCAGAGGAAGAGGATAGAGAGCTGTAAGTAATATTTTTCTTCGCAAGGTGAAAATATTGATGCCTTAATGTAGAAAAAAAATCAAGTGTTTGAATCAAGAATTTAAACTATTGATAATGACTGGTAAATAACCCTTAGTCACATGTGAGTGGACATGAAGTCAGTGCTCTTTATTTATTTTGAAGTGTTTCTTACCCATATTCATGTATTCACTGCTGTAGTGTGTCAGAGGCTGTAAGTGCAGACTCTGAGGAGAATGCTGCTGCTGAAGAAACTCCAGAGGTATGAAAATGTTTTTACCTTTTAAAAGTGTCAAAACTGATATTGAATGTATCCCTTGGTCATTGATCAGCTGATGATTTTGTTTTACATTATTTGTATCAAACAAATGTAGATCCAGGTTAACCAGCGTGTACAGCCGTCTGTTGGACGCATTACTCGATCTGTGGCTGCAAACGCTATGAGCACTCCTAACAAGAAATCGGGTATGGGAACTTGGCCTTATATAAATTGGTTCTTGTGTAATTTAATTTTTGTTGCTAATTCTGGTTAGATATAAACCTGAGTTGGTATCTAATGGTGTTTTACCAAACTCATATGTGCAAAATACATGTTTGTGTTTCAGTTGCCGAGAAGCAACAGACTCCTCAGTCAGGCCGCAGGTGAGTGCTGTGTGTGTGACTTTGCTGTTTGATGTGTAAAGGAGCTCTATACCGCATTCAGACCATTGACATAGCAGCAAACAGCTATTTGCTATGTAAAGACAAAGTGGAGAACCGCATCATGAACAGAGAATGAAGTCTTGCTGCCTGTGTGTGTGTGTGTGTGTGTGTGTGTGTGTGTGTGTGTGTGTGTGTGTGTGTGTGTGTGTGTTGTAATTTGAGCTTCTCTGTTCTTTGTCGTGGTAGCTGGTTCAGTCGCACGTGCATAGTAGTGTATCTTAATCTCATATAGAGCTTCTATATCAGCTTGTTCGGGCTACTAAATAGATTTCGAATTGTGTTTTAAAATGCATATTTCTGTGTCTCCAGGTCACGCCAAAGTACCAAACGCAAAGCACCAGATACTGTAGAGGAAAGTCCCTCAAAGAGGCACTCACCACCCAAGAAAAGTCAAAATGTAAGATGAAAAGAATCTTGCTGAGTGTTAGGGCTAAAAAATTGAAAATACCTGGATATATGTTTGAGTGGATCGAAATAGTAATCTTTTGAACCTTCTGTTGTTTTAAATACACAGGCAGTGAGACCCCACATGAGAACTTTCCTCCACACTGTGCAGAAGAATCAGATGCTAATGATGACTCCTAATTCTCTTGGCCGGACTGCTGTAATCAAATCCTTCATCAAACACACCACTCCTCTGAAGATTGATCCAAAGGTAAGTTAAACACCGAAGTCTTTGCAAAGCAACATGGTCATGCAGTGGTATGCTCACACTGTGAAGCCCGACTGCATCACTAGCAGGCCGAAGTGAACCTAACAATAGAGTTTGGTAAAGAAAGGATCAAACTTGGATCAGACACACTCCACTGGCTTAAAGCCACAGTGTGTAGGAATTTCTCCCGTCTAACGTTGAAATCATATGTTGCATTCAAACGGATAGCGCACTCTAGTGCCTCACTGTTTCAAATGCGTATTGCAACAACGGTAGTCGCTGTGTACCAAAAAGCTAACGTTGATGAAACCATGTCATCCGATACTTCATGGAGTATTCATTCAGGCTCCTACACAGACACACGCGGGGTAGTAGCGGCACACACGCGGGGTAGTAGCCAGCGCCGCTACTACCCCGGCACTACTGCAGCATAACAAAGTCCCACTCTTTGAGCATAATGCAGGATCATGTATTATGGAGCATCACGGGAGACGGAATCCTCGTCGCCAAGAAAGCGCAAAAGGGAGTCAAAAAGGCAACGTGACCGGCGATTGCATTACCATTCTCCTTCTGCAGCTCTCTCCACCTGGAAAAGGCTATCCCGATGTGGACCCTCATTTTTTTAATTCACCGGTCACGTTGCCTTTTCTATTCCCATTTG